TAAAAACGTTCAAATGTTCATTAAAATGTTTGAAGGTTCATTAAAACAATTAAATGTTCATTAAAACGTTAAAATGTTCATTAAAACTTTTAAATGTTAATTAAAATGTTAAATTGTTCATGAAAACGTTCAAATGTCCATTAAAACGTTAAATTCTTCATTAAAACATTAAAATCTTCATTAAAATGTTAAATTCTTCATTAAAAAGTTAAAATGTTCATTAAAACATTAAAATGTTCATTTTTAAAAACGTTAAAATCATCATTAAAATGTTTAAATGTTCATTTTTAAAAACATTAAAATGTTCATTTAAATGTTTAAATGTTCATTAAAACGTTAAATTCTTCATTAAAAAGTTTAAATGTTCATTTTTAAAAACATTAAAAGGTTCATTAAAATGTTAAAATTTTAATTAAAACGTTAAAATGTTCATTAAAACGTTAAAATGTTTTAAAACAAGCAGACTCTTTCTGACATCATGTAAAAACAAGCAGACTCTTTCTGACATCATGTAAAAACAAGCAGACTTTCTGACATCATAAAGAAACAAGCAGACTTTCTGACATCATGTAGTAACAAGCAGACTCTTTCTGACATAATGTAAAAACACGCAGACTCTTTCTGACATCATGTAAAAACAAGCAGACTCTTTCTGACATAATGTAGAAACAAGCAGTCTCATTCTGACATCATCTAGAAACAAGCAGACTCTTTCTGACATCATCTAGAAACAAGCAGACTCTTTCTGACATCATGTAGAAACAAGCAGACTCTTTCTGATATCATAAAGAAACAAGCAGACTTTCTGACATCATGTAGAAACAAGCAGACTCTTTCTGACATCATGTAGAAACAAGCAGACTTTCTGACATCATGTAAAAACAATCAGACTCTTTCTGACATCATGTAAAAACAAGCAGACTCTTCCTGACATCATCTAGAAACAAGCAGACTCTTTCTGACATCATCTAGAAACAAGCAGACTCTTTCTGACATCATGTAGAAACAAGCAGACTCTTTCTGACATCATGTAGAAACAAGCAGACTTTCTGAAATCATGTAGAAAAAAGCAGACTCTTTCTGACATCATGAAAAAACAAGCAGACTCTTTCTGACATCATGTAGAAACAAGCAGACTCTTTATGACATCTTCTAGAAACAAGCAGACTCTTTATGACATCATAAAGAAACAAGCAGACTCTTTCTGACATCATGAAAAAACAAGCAGACTTTCTGACATCATGTAAAAACAAGCAGACTCTTTCTGACATGTAGAAACAAGCAGACTCTTTCTGACATCATGTAAAAACAAGAAGACTTTTTCTGACATCATGTAAAAACAAGCAGTCTCATTCTGACATCATGTAGAAACAAGCAGACTCTTTATGACATCATAAAGAAACAAGCAGACTCTTTCTGACATCATGTAGAAACAAGCAGATGCTTTCTGACATCATGTAGAAACAAGCAAACTCTTTCTGACATCATGTAGAAACAAACAGGCTCTTTCTGACATCATTAAGAAACAAGCAGACTTTCTGACATCATGTAGAAACAAGCAGACTCTTTCTGACATCATAAAAAAACAAGCATACTCTTTCTGACATCATGTAGAAACAAGCAGACTCTTTCTGACATCATAAAGAAACAAGCAGTCTGCCTCTGAATTCATAAAGAAACAAGCAGTATCTTTCTGACATCATGTAGAAACAATCAGTCTCTTTCTGACATCATGTTGAAACAAGCAGTTTCATTCTGACATCATGTTGAAACAAGCAGTCTCATTCTGAAATCATGTTGAAACAAGCAGTCTCATTCTGACATCATCTAGAAACAAGCAGACTCTTTCTGACATCATAAAGAAACAAGCAGACTCTTTCTGACATCATGTAGAAACAAGCAGACTCTTTCTGACATCATAAAGAAACAAGCAGTCTCTTTCTGACATCATGTAAAAGCAAGCAGACTCTTTATGACATCATAAAGAAACAAGCAGACTCTTTCTGACATCATGTAAAAACAAGCAGACTCTTTCTGACATCATGTAAAAACAAGCAGACTCTTTCTGACATCATGTAAAAACAAGCAGACTCTTTCTGACATCATGTAAAAACAAGCAGACTCTTTCTGACATCATGTAAAAACAAGCAAATGCTTTCTGACATCATGTAGAAACAAGCAGACTCTTTCTGACATCATGTAGAAACAAGCAGTCTCATTCTGACATCATGTAGAAACAAGCAGACTCTTTCTGACATCATCTAGAAACAAGTAGTCTCCTTCTGACATCATGTAGAAACAAGCAGACTCTTTATGACATCTTCTAGAAACAAGCAGACTCTTTATGACATCATAAAGAAACAAGCAGACTCTTTCTGACATCATGAAAAAACAAGCAGACGTTCTGACATCATGTAAAAACAAGCAGACTCTTTCTGACATCATGTAAAAACAAGCAGTCTCATTCTGACATCATGTAGAAACAAGCAGACTCTTTATGACATATTCTAGAAACAAGCAGACTCTTTATTACATCATGTAAAAACAAGCACACTCTTTCTGACATCATGTAAAAACAAGCAGACTCTTTCTGACATCATGTAGAAACAAGCAGACGCTTTCTGACATCATGTAGAAACAAGCAGTCTCATTCTGACATCATCTAGAAACAAGCAGACTCTTTATGACATCATAAAGAAACAAGCAGACTTTCTGACATCATGTAGAAAAAAGCTGACTCTTTCTGACATCATATTGAAACAAGCAGACGCTTTCTGACATCATGTAGAAACAAGTAGTCTCCTTCTGACATCATAAAGAACCAAGCAGTATCTTTCTGACATCATGTAGAAACAATCAGTCTCTTTCTCACATCATGTTGAAACAAGCAGTCTCCTTCAGACATCATAAAGAAACAAGCAGTATCTTTCTGCCATCATAAAGAAACAAGCAGTCTCCTTCTGATATCATGTAGAAACAAGCAGTCTCCTTCTGATATCATGTAGAAACAAGTAGTCTCTTTCTGACATCATAAAGAAACAAGCAGACTGCTTCTGCCATTATAAAGAAACAAGCAGTATCTTTCTGACATCATAAAGAAACAAGCAGTCTCCTTCTGACATCATAAAGAAACAAGCAGTCTCCTTCTGATATCATGTAGAAACAAGCAGTCTCTTTCTGATATCATGTAGAAACAAGCAGTCTCCTTCTGATATCATGTAAAAACAAGCAGTATCTTTCTGACATCATACAGAAACAAGCAGTTTCCTTCTGATATCATGTAGAAACAAGATATATATGTCTGATATATATCAGAATATATATATGCTTGTTGAATATAAATCTTCATTAAAACCTTTAAATGTTCGTTTTTAAAAACGTTAAAATCATCATTAAAACGTTTAAATCTTCATTAAAACGTTTAAATGTCCGTTTTTAAAAACGTTAAAATCATCATTAAAACGTTAAAATCTTCATTAAAACATTAAAATGTTCATTAAAACGTTAAAATGTTCACTAAAACGTTAAAATCTTCATTAAAATGTTTAAATGTTCATTTTTAAAAACGTTAAAATTTTCATTAAAATGTTAAAATGTTCATTAAAACCTTAAAATGTTCATTAAAACGTTAAATACTTCATTCAAACGTTTAAATGTTCATTAAAACATTAAAATGTTCATTTTTAAAAACTTTTAAATGTTCATTAAAATGTTTAAAGGTTCATTAAAACGATTAAATGTCCATTAAAACGTTAAAATGTTCATTAAAACTTTTAAATGTTATTTAAAACGTTAAATTCTTCATTAAAACATTAAAATCTTCATTAAAATGTTAAATTCTTCATTAAAATATTAAAATGTTTATTAAAATATTAAAATGTTCATTTTTAAAAACGTTAAAATCATCATTAAAATGTTTAAATATTCATTTTTAAAAACATTAAAATGTTCATTAAAATGTTTAAATGTTCATTAAAACGTTAAATTCTTCATTAAAAAGTTTAAATGTTCATTTTTAAAAACATTAAAAGTTTCATTAAAATGTTAAAATTTTAATTAAAACGTTAAAATGTTAATTAAAAAGTTAAAATGTTTTCAAACAAGCAGACTCTTTCTGACATCATGTAAAAACAAGCAGACTTTCTGACATCATCTAGAAACAAGCAGACTTTCTGACATCATGTAGAAACAAGCAGACTCTTTCTGACATCATAAAGAAACAAGCAGACTTTCTGACATCATGTAGAAACAAGCAGACTCTTTCTGACATCATGTAAAAACAAGCAGACTCTTTCTGACATCATGTAGAAACAAGCAGACTCTTTCTGACATCATGTAAAAACAAGCAGACTCTTTCTGACATCATGTAGAAACAAGCAGTCTCATTCTGACATCATCTGGAAACAAGCAGACTCTTTCTGACATCATGTAAAAACAATCAGACTCTTTCTGACATCATGTAGAAACAAGCAGACTTTCTGACATCATGTAATTACAAGCAGACTCTTTCTGACATCATGTAAAAACAAGCAGTCTCATTCTGACATCATGTAGAAACAAGCAGACTCTTTCTGACATCATAAAGAAACAAGCAGACTCTTTCTGACATCATGTAAAAACAAGCAGACTCTTTCTGACATCATGTAAAAACAAGCAGACTCTTTCTGACATCATGTAGAAACAAGCAGATGCTTTCTGACATCATGTAGAAACAAGCAGACTCTTTCTGACACCATGTAAAAACAAGAAGACTTTTTCTGACATCATGTAAAAACAAGCAGTCTCATTCTGACATCATGTAGAAACAAGCAGACTCTTTATGACATCATAAAGAAACAAGCAGACTCTTTCTGACATCATGTAAAAACAAGCAGACTCTTTCTGACATCATGTAGAAACAAGCAGATGCTTTCTGACATCATGTAGAAACAAGCAGACTCCTTCTGACATCATAAAGAAACAAGCAGTCTGCCTCTGACATCATAAAGAAACAAGCAGTATCTTTCTGCCATCATAAATAAACAAGCATTCTCCTTCTGATATCATGTAGAAACAAGCAGTCTCCTGACATCATAAAGAAACAAGCAGTATCTTTCTGACATCCTAAAGAAACAAGCAGTCTCCTTCTGATATTATGTAGAAACAAGCAGTCTCCTTCTGATATCATGTAGAAACAAGTAGTCTCTTTCTGACATAAGAAACAAGCAGACTGCCTCTGACATAATAAAGAAACAAGCAGTATCTTTCTGACATCATAAAGAAACAAGCAGTGTCCTTCTGACATCATAAAGAAACAAGCAGTCTCCTTCTGATATCATGTAGAAACAAGCAGTCTCCTTCTGATATCATGTAGAAACAAGATATATATTTTTGATATATATCAGAATATATGGCTGTGTCTCAATTCAGGGTCTGCATCCTTCGAAGGACCCAGCCCACCCGGCCGACGTGGGCTGCGTCCTCCGTCGGCCGGGTAGACCGGATGTTAACGGCTGTGAATTTGGACAGGCCTAGCCTTCATGAACTCCCTCGGCGAACGTTCCGTCGCCTAGCAACCGTGGAACCGCTGGGCAGAAGGCAGAAGGAACCTTAAACGATGGAGCTCGACGTTTTATTTAGCTTTTTAACCCCCAGAAACCCAAATTTAGAAAACAACTGCAAAATATTTTTTAACCTTTCACATGTTGTTCTAGGAGGCCAGATAAACGGGCCTATTTACACATTTTAACAGCCAATAGTGTTGCAGAACTGAATAGGACCTATTAGCAATGTAAATGTGGTTTAAAAAAGAAAAAAAATGGGGAAGGTTTATTTTTGTAGACTTAAATCTGATGTTGTAATACTACAACCGTGGGTCTCTGGGGGTTAATCATTTCCTTGACTGTTGGAGAGCTAATTCAGAGAAAATACTTTAGACTAGCTGAGCCTGAGCAAAGATGTGATAATAGTTTTTAATACTTTCTAAGGGTCTTACTTTGACCAAAACCGATATATCACCTTTTAAGACTTTTCAAGACCCAGCGGATACCCTCTAGTAAACAATTCTCATTTGTAAACAAAAATAAAATTGAAGAGTTTAATGCAGAACTGATTTTATTTAGATATTTCTTTTACATGTACATGTTTAATCTTCCTTAACCATTTTTTTCTAGCAAAGTAAAAAGCTGTCAAAGTTCTTCCTTCTCTCCTGTGCTCCTGCTGCTCTGCCTCCCTCTGCAGCCTCATGTCCTCCCAGATCAGCTCCAGAAGCTCATCGCTGGCACCTTCCCCTGGATGCCCATTTTCTCCAGAATAGTCTTAACAAACATGTAAGAAAAGAAACAGGAAGAGAAAAGAGGACAACGGGTTATTCCTTTCATGTTTTCGCAGAAAAAAATATACTCAAACGAGTTTTTAAAATATGAGATGTTATTGTACCTCCATGCCACAGCCGCCGAATACTTTGCTCCGGTGATCATGTGGTCCATCTCCGTCCTAAGCTTAATAAATTCCCTGGTTTTCTCTTTTGGTCCTAAAATACAAACTTCTATTAAAATCAGGGGGAAACGTAGCGGGAGAAGTGCGACACCGAGCGCGGCCGAACATACGAGCCGAGACCGCAATACAAGCACTTTTACTGTAACATTTCTAACTAAAATAACGTTCATGTATCACAAAAAGTCCTTAAACTGACAGTTTTCAAGTTTATACTTACATTTATAAGCGCAATCCTCTCCGACAGCTCCCGCTTCACTGTCCGCCATTGTTTTTAAGTTTTTCTGCCGGCCGGCCCGCAAGGCATCTTGGGAAATGCTACCTATTGAAGGATACACCCGACCCATCCTTCATTCAGGCGAAAAGAAGGCCGCATTCGTCGACCGCATTTGAAGGAGTCTTCGAATTGGGACAGGCCGAGTCGCGGCGCTGTGACGTAACCGGCCGACGAATCCGGCCGAGGTAGGATGCAGACCCTGAATTGAGACACAGCCTATATGTGCTTGTTGAATATAAATCTTCATTAAAACGTTTAAATGTTCGTTTTTAAAAACATTAAAATCATCATTAAAACGTTTAAATCTTCATTAAAATGTTCAAATGTTCGTTTTTAAAAACGTTAAAATCATCATTAAAACGTTAAAATCTTCATTTAAACATTAAAATGTTCATTAAAACATTACAATGTTCATTAAAACATTAAAATGTTCATTAAAATGTTTAAATGGTCATTTTAAAAAACGTTAAAATGTTCATTAAAATGTTGAAATGTTCATTAAAACCTTAAAATGTTCATTAAAACATTAAATTCTTCATTAAAACGTTTAAATGTTCATTAAAACATTAAAATGTTCATTTTTAAAAATGTTCAAATGTTCATTAAAATGTTTAAAGGTTCATTAAATCAATTAAATGTTCATTAAAACGTTAGAATGTTCATTAAAACTTTTAAATGTTAATTAAAATGTTAAAATGTTCATTAAAACGTTTAAATGTTCATTAAAACGTTAAAATCTTCATTTTTAAAAACGTTAAAATGTTTATGAAAACGTTCAAATGTACATTAAAACTTTAAATTCTTCATTAAAACATTAAAATCTTCATTAAAACGTTAAATTCTTCATTAAAACGTTAAAATGTTCATTAAAACATTAAAATGTTCATTTTTAAAAACATTAAAATGTTTAAATGTTCATTAAAACGTTAAACTCTTCATTAAAACGTTTAAATGTTCATTTTTAAAAACATTAAAAGGTTCATTAAAATTTTAAAATTTTAATTAAAAGGTTAAAATGTTCATTAAAACGTTAAAATGTTTTAAAACAAGCAGACTCTTTCTGACATCATGTAAAAACAAGCAGACTGTCTGACATCATGTAAAAACAAGCAGACTTTCTGACATCATCTAGAAACAAGCAGACTTTCTGACATCATGTAGAAACAAGCAGACTCTTTCTGACATCATTAAGAAACAAGCAGACTTTCTGACATCATGTAAAAACAAGCAGACTCTTTCTGACATCATGTAAAAACAAGCAGACTCTTTCTGACATCATGTAGAAACAAGCAGACTCTTTTTGACATCATAAAGAAACAAGCAGACTCTTTCTGACATCATGTAAAAACAAGCAGACTCTTTCTGACATCATGTAAAAACAAGCAGACTCTTTCTGACATCATGTAAAAACAAGCAGACTCTTTCTGACATAATGTAGAAACAAGCAGATGCTTTCTGACATCATGTAGAAACAAGCAGACTCTTTCTGACATCATGTAGAAACAAGCAGACTCTTTCTGACATCATGTAGAAACAAGCAGACTCTTTCTGACATCATGTAAAAACAAGCAGACTTTTTCTGACATCATGTAAAAACAAGCAGTCTCATTCTGACATCATGTAGAAACAAGCAGACTCTTTATGACATCATAAAGAAACAAGCAGACTCTTTCTGACATCATGTAAAAACAAGCAGACTCTTTCTGACATCATAAAGAAACAAGCAGACTTTCTGACATCATGTAGAAACAAGCAGACTGTTTCTGACATCGTCTAGAAACAAGTAGTCTCCTTCTGACATCATAAAGAAACAAGCAGTCTGCCTCTGACATCATAAAGAAACAAGCAGTCTCCTTCTGATATCATGTAGAGACAAGCAGTCTCCTTCTGATATCATGTAGAAACAAGTAGTCTCTTTCTGACATAAGAAACAAGCAGACTGCCTCTGACATAATAAAGAAACAAGCAGTATCTTTCTGACATCATAAAGAAACAAGCAGTCTCCTTCTGACATCATAAAGAAACAAGCAGTCTCCTTCTGATATCATGTAGAAACCAGCAGTATCTTTCTGACATCATACAGAAACAAGCAGTCTCCTTCTGATATCATGTAGAAACAAGATATATATGTCTGATATATATCAGAATATATATGTGCTTGTTGAATATAAATCTTCATTAAAACGTTTAAATGTTCGTTTTTAAAAACGTTAAAATCATCATTAAAACGTTTAAATCTTCATTAAAACGTTTAAATGTTCGTTTTTAAAAATGTTAAAATCATCATTAAAACGTTAAAATCTTCATTTAAACATTAAAACGTTCATTAAAACGTTAAAATGTTCATTAAAACGTTAAAATCTTCATTAAAATGTTTAAATGGTCATTTTAAAAAACGTTAAAATGTTCATTAAAATGTTGAAATGTTCATTAAAACATTAAAATCTTCATTAAAACATTAAAGTCTCCATTAAAACGTTTAAATGTTCATTAAAACATTAAAATGTTCATTTTTAAAAACGTTCAAATGTTCATTAAAATGTATAAAGGTTCATTAAATCAATTAAATGTTCATTAAAACGTTAAAATGTTCATTAAAACTTTTAAATGTTAATTAAAATGTTAAAATGTTCATTAAAACGTTTAAATGTTCATTAAAATGTTAAAATCTTCATTTTTAAAAACGTTAAAATGTTCATGAAAACGTTCAAATGTACATTAAAACTTTAAATTCTTCATTAAAACGTTAAAATGTTCATTAAAACATTAAAATGTTCATTTTTAAAAACGTTAAAATCATCATTAAAATGTTTAAATGTTCATTTTTAAAAACATTAAAATGTTTAAATGTTCATTAAAACATTAAATTCTTCATTAAAACGTTTAAATGTTCATTTTTAAAAACAATAAAAGGTTCATTAAAATAATTAAAATTTTAATTAAAAGGTTAAAATGTTCATTAAAACGTTAAAATGTTTTAAAACAAGCAGACTCTTTCTGACATCATGTAAAAACAAGCATACTTTCTGACATCATCTAGAAACAAGCAGACTTTCTGACATCATGTAGAAAGAAGCAGACTCGTTCTGACATCATTAAGAAACAAGCAGACTTTCTGACATCATGTAGAAAATAGCAGACTCTTTCTGACATCATGTGAAAACAAGCATACTCTTTCTGACATCATGTAGAAACAAGCAGTCTCCTTCTGATATCATGTAGAAACAAGTAGTCTCTTTCTGACATCATAAAGAAACAAGCAGTCTCATTCTGACATCATCTAGAAACAAGCAGACTCTTTATGACATCATAAAGAAACAAGCAGTCTCCTTCTGATATCATGTAGAAACAAGCAGTCTCCTTCTGATATCATGTAGAAACAAGCAGACTCTTTCTGACATCATGTAAAAACAAGCAGACTCTGTCCAACATCATGTACAAACAAGCAGACTTTCTGACATCACCTAGAAACAAGAAGACTTTCTGACATGTAGAAACAAGCAGTATCTTTCTGACATCATTAAGAAACAAGCAGACTCTTTCTGACATCATGTAGAAACAAGCAGACTCTTTCTGACATCATGTAGAAACAAGCAGACTCTTTCTGACATCATAAAGAAACAAGCAGTCTCCTTCTGATATCATGTAGAAACAAGCAGTCTCCTTCTGATATCATGTAGAAACAAGCAGTCTCCTTCTGACATCATAAAGAAACAAGCAGTCTCCTTCTGATACCATGTAGAAACAAGCAGTCTCCTTCTGATATCATGTAGAAACAAGCAGTCTCCTTCTGATATCATGTAGAAACAAGTAGTCTCTTTCTGACATCATAAAGAAACAAGCAGACTGCCTCTGCCATAATAAAGAAACAAGCAGTATATTTCTGACATCATAAAGAAACAAGCAGTCTCCTTCTGATATCATGTAGAAACAAGCAGTCTCCTTCTGATACCATGTAGAAACAAGCAGTCTCCTTCTGATATCATGTAGAAACAAGCAATCTCCTTCTGACATAATCTAGAAACAAGCAGACTTTCTGACATCATGTAGAAACAAGCAGACTTTCTGACATCATGTAGAAACAAGCAGACTTTCTGACATCATGTAAAAACAAGCAGACTCTTTTTGACATCATGTAGAAACAAGCAGTCTCATTCTGACATCATCTAGAAACAAGCGGACTCTTTATGACATCATAAAGAAACAAGCAGTCTCCTTCTGATATCATATAGAAACAAGTAGTCTCTTTCTGACATCATAAAGAAACAAGCAGTCTCCTTCTGATATCATGTAGAAACAAGCAGTCTCCTTCTGATATCATATAGAAACAAGTAGTATCTTTCTGACATCATACAGAAACAAGCAGTCTCCTTCTGATATCATGTAGAAACAAGATATATATGTCTGATATATATCAGAATATATATGTGCTTGTTGAATATAAATCTTCATTAAAACGTTTAAATGTTCGTTTTTAAAAACGTTAAAATCATCATTAAAACATTTAAATCTTCATTAAAACGTTTAAATGTTCGTTTTTAAAAATGTTAAAATCATCATTAAAACGTTAAAATCTTCATTTAAACATTAAAATGTTCATTAAAACGTTAAAATGTTCATTAAAACGTTAAAATGTTCATTAAAACGTTAAAATCTTCATTAAAATGTTTAAATGGTCATTTTAAAAAACGTTAAAATGTTCATTAAAATGTTGAAATGTTCATTAAAACCTTAAAATGTTCATTAAAACATTAAAGTCTTCATTAAAACGTTTAAATGTTCATTAAAACATTAAAATGTTCATTTTTAAAAACGTTCAAATGTTCATTAAAATGTTTAAAGGTTCATTAAATCAATTAAATGTTCATTAAAACGTTAAAATGTTCATTAAAACTTTTAAATGTTAATTAAAATGTTAAAATGTTCATTAAAACATTTAAATGTTCATTAAAACGTTAAAATCTTCATTTTTAAAAACGTTAAAATGTTCATGAAAACGTTCAAATGTACATTAAAACTTTAAATTCTTCATTAAAACGTTAAAATGTTCATTAAAACATTAAAATGTTCATTTTTAAAAACGTTAAAAATCATCATTAAAATGTTTAAATGTTCATTTTTAAAAACATTAAAATGTTCATTAAAATGTTTAAATGTTCATTAAAACATTAAATTCTTCATTAAAACGTTTAAATGTTCATTTTTAAAAACATTAA